AATAAAAAAAAAGTCTGAGCTACTAGGCGAACCAGTTTATAATGAATGTAGACCTCTGGGTGTTCCTTTGGGACTGAATAACTGAAGGACCATGGTAGTACAGAAAACCTCAGTCAACAGAGTATTTTATTTTATTTTGAGACAGGATTACTCTCTAGCCCTGACTGTCCTGGAACTTGTTCTATAGGGCTTAGAACTTTCAGAGATCTCCTTGCCTCTGCCTCCTAAGTACTGGCTTAAACTGAGGTATTCTAGTATTAGTTAGATATACATATTTTGTCTCCCATTGTGTAGACTGTTTTCATTAACACGTATCCCTCTCTGTGTCGTTCTACCATTTTTGGTTTGCAGTTTGCTTGCCTAAGCGTAGCCGTTCTTTTTTTTTTTTTCATATTTCTCATCTTTATTATGCTTCGGATGAGTGTTAGCACTTGAATATTTCAGAACTCTGGTACACACACAACAGTGTGAATGGAGTGTCTTATTTCCCATAGGATGTAGCATGTGTTATCACCCTCTTATTTCGCTTAATTTACGTTGAAGATCATAAGCTGTTAAATTTGTTACTATAAGACTGATCATAACATTTCTTTGTTTTTATATAATATCTGCTTCCCTCTCTCTGGGTTTCCTGTACTCTGCCTATACCCACATACATGCTTGGTGTGAAGTGACTTTTCTGATCCATCAATTGCTGTGTGTTTGTGTATCCTCAGTGGTCAGTCCTACTTGTAAGCAGCATGTTGAATCTTGCTTTTTACTCCATTTGGTGGATATTTATTTTTATTTGGGGCTTTTAATGTGTTTGCACCCAAGGTTATTAGTGTTATATGTAGAACGATTTGTGTCATTTTGCTCATGTTCTGGTCTCAAATAGCTACATTCTAGACAAGCTCCATGTTTCAGCTTTGTTGTTTTCTGTACGGGTGAGATTTGATTCTCTTTATCTTTTATGTAACTGCTCTTCTACAGGCTTTTAGTCTTTTGCATCTTTTCACAGGGACATCTATTATTCTTTTATTTTTCACTGGCTGGCATAGCCTCTCTTGAGCATATTTTGATAAGGTTGCTCTAGGGTTGATGGGTTCCCTAATTTTTATTTTGGACTGTCACCTTGGACATTGTTTTAGCTCTCCTTTGCTCCCCCAGAGCATCTCTCAGTGTAATAGTCAAGGTTAACGATCTTTCTTTCTCCTCCCTAACTTTTAATACAGTGTCATATTTTCTTGTAGTCCATTTGTTTTCTGCTGAAACATCTCCCATGAATTCAATGGGGCTTAAGTGTGAGCAAATGCCTTTTTTTTAAAAAAAAGAATTTGAAAGTTTGGATATGAAATGTAGTGATGAAGACATGTTTGAGTCAAACCTCTAAGGGATCATCTTTTGGGCTTTCTGGGTCTTCTCTGTATCTCTTTAAGCTTAAGGAAGTTATCAGCTTTTTCTTTGTCAGTATGGAAGCTTCATCTTTTCTTTTCTTTTTGTTCAGGTCTTAAGTTTTCACGTAACCCAGCATGACCTTTAACTCATCATGTAACCAAGGGTGACCTTGAACTTTGGATCCTTCTGTTTCTGCCTTCTGGTTCTGGAGTTCCAGACATGTGACACCATGTCCTGTTTTATGCAGTGCTGGAGATCAAACCCAGGACTCTGGGAAGCGCTCTACCAATGGAGCTACCTTCCCCACCCCTAGGATGGAACTTATAAAACACCCTGGAAACTGCCTTATTCTTGAGCCCGCCACTCCTGAATATGCACCTGGGGGACTCTGAGTCCCACCGTCGAGATGCTTGCCCATCTATGGTCTTTGCTGCACCATTCACAGTAGCTGAATAATGAAACGAGTCTCGATGTCTATCAGTAGATGAATGGGTGAAGAAAATGTGGTACTTATACTCAGTGGGATCTTAGTCAGCCATAAACAAAAATGAAATTGCGACGTATTCAGGAAAATGGATGGAACTGGGACTCATTTGTTGTGTGGATAGGTTTTCTGTGCTTTCCTTTTTCCTTGGCTCCTGGAAGGGTCATAATTTGAACATTTGTTCATTTGCACACATCTCATAAATCTTGGAAACTTTCTTTGTTCTTTCTAATGAGTTTTCTCTTTTATTTCTTCAGTGTAACAGTGGTTCTTCAGAAGGTCTGTCTTTACGTTCAGACGTTGTTCTGCTTGATCTATCTTGTTGAGGCTCTTGTTCATATCTTTTATTTGACTTATTTCATTCTTCAGGTCTGAAGTTTATAGTTAGTTTCTTTTGATGATTTCTTTTTGTTGAATTTCTTATTCATTTCATTAATTGGTTTCTTTGTTTCACAGAGTTATTTATAATCTCTTGTATGTCACTGAATGTCCTTCAAATTAATCTTTTGAATTCTTGCTCAGGGATTTCATCTATTACTTTATCTCTCGAGTGTTGTTGGAGAATAATTGTACTCTTTTAGATTTATCATGTTACCTTGCTCTTCCAGACTTCATGTTTCCTTATGCTGATATTTGCATGTCCGGTGGAACAGTTGTCTCCACTACTGAGTGATTTTTATATTTGGAGATTTTTTTTTGACCCTGTCTACTGGTTTTGGTTCAAGTTGGCCATTGCAGTTATGGTCTCCAAATAACTTCAGCTGTAAACAGTGTCTGCGAGAGTGTTCACAGGAAGCAGGATCATGAAGACTGTTGCTCTCTGCAGGGCTGCCAGGTGGGGCTATTTTAGCAGCCCAGGAGGGTATGGTACCCAGAGGAGTAGGGAAGAGTGCTTTCCTCATGGGCTTGGGCAAGTGTAATGCAGCACACATGCAAAAATGTAAGGATTGTGTGCCAATTTCTGCAAACCATATTCCAAGGAAGTGAGGTTAGAAGGTCCTTAGGCAGGTGTGGCATGGTTCCCATGGTAGAGGGAGCAGGGCTCCTGTGTGGTACAGAGTGCATCTATAAAGTCTCCTGCAGTCACATGGAGCTAGAGAGGTGTTACATAGGAAGTCATGCAGGCAGGGGGAAGGTAGGAGAGCCCAGGCAGGAGAGAATGTGCTTCATCACTTGTGTTCCTCATCTGTTTGGAGCAGCGTCATGACATGCTCTCCCTGAGGACTCGGGAATGCTGCAGGATTATCCAGCACCGCCTCCCCAATTTAGGGTGCCGGTGTGAGCTGTTGGGGTCTCCTATGCATTTTTTGTTGTGATAGAACTTTTCGGGGATCAAGCTGGTCTTGACCTGGGAAGTTGATATCAGGCTTTTTTCCTTCTTTACTCAACCATCTACAGCCCTCATGACCCAGAATATCTTCATTTTATCTTCTCTGCATTCTAGCTCTTTCCTACAAATACTGTTTGAATAGTAGCTGCCCTTCCCTCCCTTCATCCTTTCCCATCTTTGTAGTCACTTCTGGTGTCACTAACCAGCCATCTTGCCATAGACTTCCTTCTATCATGAAGGGCACAGTTTTTTGGAGCATTTAGAAGCTCACCCCTTAATCCTATATTTACTTTTGATGTTCTAACCATATCAACATGTATCTGCTCCAGACACCAGCTTTGGAATTCTCCTATGGGATACACTTATTTGTGAAACATTTTCCTCATTTTTGTTGATGCTCAGGAAATCCCTCTGAAGACCTACTATCTTTTAACTGGCTGCAGCAGCAACATTCCTACGGTCCCCTCTGTCTTCTGTAACTTTACTTTGCCCCCCCCCCCCACAATTATTATCCTTCGTTTTTTGGTGGAATTTAGTATTTATTGGCTAGTTTTCATTTCCTATTGTCCATTTAAAAAATAGTGCATTGGAATATCACCAGAGACAAGAAGGCAACACAGCTACGTGCTTCCCCACCAGTGTGAGCTAAGTAACAAATGCAGTTACTGATACTGGCAGACTCTGAAGGAGATGATGTGATTGGTTATGGCTTTAGATGGACAGCTATTATCGGTAAAAATTCCCTTTTATCCTTGGGGAAAATAGTTTGCAGGACACCCCCACTCCAGTGATTTCTGGAAGTAGCAATGGAACCAAATTCTGCATATCTTGTTTTCTCCCATACATAGATATCTACTGTAATATTTCATTCATAAATTAGGGATACTAAGACATTAGCAATAATATGAATAATCACCACAAAACACATTTTTTATTTGTACTTTTAATTTTCAACTAAAGAAGTGTTTTATGAGTTCTCTTCAGAAAATTTGAATTTCAAGAGTCATTATTATTGCATTTTGAGACTATCATTAAGAAAACTAATGGTTACTCAATTATACACACTGCCAAACTAAAGTGGCTTATCTGCTAACTGAGTCAGTGGGTTGGAGACCAACTGGGGAGCATGTAGTGTATGGACTCATAGAGATTTTGGATACCCTGAGCAGGTGGTGGGGCTCACATCCCTCGGAGGGGGTATGGAGTAACATTGCAAGAGCTTTCATTATGCTGTTCAGAATGACACAAGATTTTAAACTTTTGAGCTGTACATTCCAGAACTTGTAAATCGGATCATTGTTGGTCTTTGAAATCAGAGAAAACAAAACAATGGACATTGGGTGTGTGGCTGTATGGGTGCGTTTCCTTGACATGTGCTTCATGCAGTTACAGTCAGCGTACCATGGTAACTGAGATTCAAACACTGCAGGTGTGAAACGTGTTTAATAGAACCACAGTGCTTGGAATTTGTGCATATAGAAACTGTAGGAGCTACTCTCTCTGCCTCTCTGTTTCTCTTCACACGCGAAATAGCTTCTAAATCTGACTGTCAGCAGGAAGTTTTAGAAACAGTGGTTAAAACATGTCTTAGCATGTAACATGTCTTAGCATATTACTGACTATACATATCCTCCCACAGGTTGCAAACTTCCAATGGATACAAAAATTTCACTGAAATAATGTTTTCCACATTCTAGTTCATTGTGCAGGGGCATCAGTTTAAGCAAAATGAACCAGTAAGACGATGATGTGACTTGATGTAGTAGTCTAAAAGTGACACAAAAATATCAATGGATTTTTGTCTTTCAGTTTTATGTATGGAGAATTGACCGACAAGAAGACCATTGAGAAAGTCAGGCAGACTTTTGACAACTACGAGTCAAACTGTTTTGAAGTTCTTCTGTATAAAAAAAACCGTAGGTATTTCTGTTATCATTAAGATGACCTAGCTCTTTTCTAAAGGTTACAGTTTAGGGAATGGCAGCTGAGCAACAAGGTAGAGAAGATACCATGTGCTATGACTGCTCTTGGTGTGTGGGGAGAGGTTGCTGGTGAAATTGGAAAGATTAATAAATGATTCTACCTATGAAATCCTCTCAAAAATGGATGCAAAACAGTTTCCATTGTTTTATTTTAACAAATTTATTTTAATTTTATTTAAAAATATATTATGTGTCTGAGTGTTTTGCTTATATATATGTATGTGTAAAATATGTGTGCTTGGCCAAAGTCAGAAGAAGGCATTGGATCTCCCAGGACTTTGTAGAGAGTTGTGAGCTACCTTGTGGGTGCTGGGAACTGATCTCAGATCCTCTCCAAGAGCAACAGGAACTCCTAACCACTGAGCAATCTCTCCAGCCCCGCATTTTTATTTTCAACATCATGGTTATCCATATTTATTAGGTACTAATTAACACTATGATTTACAAATACAATATGAATACTTAAACAAATAACCTTCAACACTTCAAATATTGACTTTTTGTGGTGGGAATACTGGAAATTGCTTGTGTGGTGTCTGCACTATACTGTTATTATTAACCGTGTTCACCATGCTATGCAATGCATCTCATAACCAGACGGAGAAACTTTTCTCATGTGTCATCTAGTCTTTGTATTCCTAGATCATCTTTTCTTCATTCCTACCCAACCCTACTGCTGAGAACCTCTACTGTCTGACATGTGTTTAATCAACTTAAGTCCCACTTAAAATGAGTAGGTTTTATATTGTTCTTCTGTGCCTGGCTTATTTAACTTAGTATTTAGTATTATGATTGTGTATTCCTTCCATGTTGTTGCAAAACCACAATCTCTCTCTGTCTCTGTCTCTGTCTCTCTGTCTCTCTGTCTCTCTCTCTCTCTCATCTGCATGTGGGTACATTTAAAATTTTACAACAGAATCATCATACGACTTAGCAGTCATTTGGAGGCCAGAGGAAGACTTCAGGCATCTTCTATGATCTTCTGCTGGGTCCCCAGGAGACAAGGCCTCTCACTTGAGCTTCTATCTTTTAGCTAAACTAGCTAGCCTGCAAACCCTATCAGTCCCTCTGTCTCTGCTCCTTCCTTGTCTCCTGTTTCGCCCACTGCTGGGGTTACAAGCATACACAGTGATGATGCTTGGCTTTTTATGTCGTTTTGGGATCCAAACTCAGGCCCTTCCGCTTACTCAGCAAGCATTCCTACCCACTGAGTCATCTCCCCAGTTCAAGAAATTCTTTTAAATGCTGAGCAGGATTCCACGTTCTATATACATTTTATTTTTTATCAGTTCATCTGCTAATGGACATTTAGGTCAATTCTAAAAATTGGCTATTGCAAATGTTAGTGCAATGAACACGAGCGTGCAGATATCCCTTGTTTCGCAGATTGCCAGTCTTTAGGGTGAATATCCAGAAATGGTGCTGCTACAACATATGGTGATTCTATTTTAAAATTTTAAAATTAGTCTCTGAGTAGGTTTTCTATAGTGTCTGTACCAATGGATGCTCACAATACATTTTTATAGATTCACTTTTCATAGTTACTGTACAAATGTCAGTGAGGTGGATATGTGGTTATTTGATGTCAGTCTTTACAAACATAACGTTTAGCTAGATGTCGCCTGTTGCCTGGGGAAGGGTAATAGACATAGGCACCGTCCTCAGAACAGGCCATTCACATCTGGTAAATGTCTGCTGATTGTTGTGAATATTCTCTGGGGTTAGGATTGTACATCACCAATTGTCAACTATGTCATCACATAGAACCTCATGGACAGCCATGTTTGGTAGGTTAAAACAAAAATTAACCAATCAGCCAACCACCACCATGACCACCAAGCCTCAGTGCATATTCTCAACCATCAAGCCTTCTATTTGACTTGGGTTCATTGCATGGACATGAAGAGTCCCTTCATAACCTTTAACCAAGAATCCATGGCCAAATGACATCTGTGTGCAAACATTTTCCCATGGAGTCTCACAGGGTATATTAAGGGCACATCCAAGGGCAGAGCCTGTGCTCAGTAGTAGATGGCCTCCACAAACTGAACTCAATGGTAATTTTGTAGACTTTTTGTCGCATATTGATTTGTTTAGGCATTTTTTGTTTTTCTGGTTTTTTGCTCATATATTATAATTTATGATTTTGTGTTTTTGTGGGTTTATTTGTGTGCATGTATGTGCTTTTACTTTTTAAAAAGTTCTGAGTTGGGTGTTTTTGTTTGTTTGCCTATTTGTTTTCTGAAGAGAGAAAGAGAGAGAGAATGAAGACATAGAGTTGGGTGGGTATGGAGGTGGGGAGAATCTTGGAGGAGTTGGGGAAGGAGGAACTGAGATTAGAACATATTGTAAAAAAATTGTTTTCAATAAAAATGCATATGAAAAGTGTGTGTGTGTGTGTGTGTGTGTGTGTGTGCATGCACTTTTATGATAAATGATGACAAAATCCATCCTCATCTTCAGTGGCTACTCTAGTCTCCTGAAGTGTGAGAGACATTCTAACATCATCAGAATGCATTTTTTTCCTACAATCAGTATATGCGGGAGCTTGTGGTGCACAATTTTCCTTCCATTTCCTTCAATTCTTTATGGAATATGTGGAATTAAAATTAGATTTTCTCTTTTAGCACTAGACCCACAAAAGGATAACAGCAGTCGTAGACGCTGCCTCGGAGCAGCGCATTTGCTGGCGGGAACATTATCTCTTGCGGTTTTACCTCTCAAAACCTCAATCATTTCATCTTGCAGTTTAGAATCAAGTCCGAAGAGATGTTTCTGTTTGCACTCATTCTCAGCTGCCAGCTTGTCACACAGAAAGCCGTCAGCTCTCAATGAGGCTCTCTCCCTGCTGCAGAGGTTCTGGATCCTTTCTGGGTCTTCTCCCCTCAGGTGCTACTGTTTAGTTCCTATTCATAAGACATCCAAACTTCCTAGCCTTTTCATCTTTACATAGATTTGTTAGTCTTGGGATGACCATGGATATATGGCCCAAGTTATCAAATAACAGGAGAGCGCTCATCATTAAGGCTATTTGCCTTGGCACTTAAGCAGAATTAACAGATATTTGCTGAGTTCTCAGACATTGTAGCCAAGTCCACAGATTGAGTTTGTCAGTAGTACCTTAATGGGATTCTGTTTTGTTTATTTACTTTAAAATCTATTGGTAATGATTTGATTTGCATTATTATATTCACCTTCCAGAATAGTTTAGATGTTCTACATTGTACACCACGGCTTGAAATTATTATGTGACTTTTGTTCAAGTCTGCCTGGCTCTCTAAGGTGAACCGTGTATTGTGTTTAGGTGTCTGCGTATAGCTGTTAAGAGACAGACCCTGCAGCCCGGTAGATGAAAGTTGCTGCTTCCCTCTGCGTGTTCTCTGCATCCATCTTTATTTTTGATTTTTCTTTTGATAAGGATAGATATTATCCAGGCATTAGGGTAGCATACACGTATCTTGACCAATTGTAAAGGACTTTTGTAAGTGGTCATCTAAGAACATCTTTTGCATATCAAACTGGAAAGAGTGTATTTTGTGACTTTGGAAAACGTTAGATAGGAAAACTGACATATCTGTAGAAGACCATTTGGGAAATGCCTAAATTCCAAGCCCCCCCCCCCCCCAAGACTTCCATCATGTGAGTAGGTTAGATTAAACACAATTTTGCCAGTGGGGCAGTTGAGGTTTCTGATTTACTTGATCAGGGGTTGGCACTTTAGTTTGTACCCTCTTTTTTATTCTTCCTGTCTAGTGTTCTTAGTAAAGGAGGCATTTTCTGCTCTGGGGAAAGTTCAATATCTCTGGAGCCAAGACAGAACCTAGCACCTATGTTTCTGGTGTGCAGTGACCAGGCCCTGCTCTGAGTGATTGGGAGTGCACCTCCATTCATCTCTCTGACTCCTTGTCCATCTGACCCCAGCTCCAGAATATAAAGGAGATTTCACCAGCTACCTGAAAACATTCCGCCTGTGAGGGGGAATCTGAGCCTATGAGCTGGACAGATTCTACCTTGGTGTTGAGAAACAGCCTTTCAGAGAGTTCTGTCTCTGCCAGAATTTGCAAAGTGGCTGTTTCCATGGGTGTGGCCCCAGTTATTGTTTTTTTTTTTTTTGTCCAGATTTCTAGCAGGACCTGGCAACCAGAAAGGATTTTCAAATCCCCTTTCTCTTTGTTGCTGACCCCTTTGCTGCTAGCCCACGGTGCTGGAACAGCCTCAGGTCAAGCACACAGTAGCCTCTGGCCCCGGTTATTTGTAAAACTGCCCTTCACTCACAGCTCTGACACAGTGTAACACTAGGAGCAGGAAACAGAGAGCGAGTCTGCTTCGGAGATGATGTGGTTGTTTCCTGCGTCTCCTTCTTACTCTGCAGTCATCGTGGAAAGGACTATGTCCTCCTATGGGCCTGCTGGAACCACAAAAGACTCAGTGGTGGAGTCTTATAAATCTCTCTGCACAGCTCTGGCTCCATGAGCCTACTAAGAACACTCTTCTTGTCTAAAGGACAAGCGAGCCCTCACGTGACTTAGAGAGATTCCCCAAGTTCAGTCAATAATTTAAGAGCACTGTTATTATCTGGATGTTTAAACAGAATCGGCAGTGGCTTTAGGTGATGCAGCCTTGGACGCAGATGGGAAGGAGATTGTTATTCGGCTATTAGAGAACCCCTAATGCTGTTAGTTCACACCTCCCGTAGCTGCCTGTCCACTCTCCAAATCCTAAACCTGACCAAACCCCCTCTGTCCCTAAGAATGAATAGTTTGAGGGGCTGATTGCGCCTTTGTTTGATAAAAATATTATGGAAAATGTGTTTTTAAAAATGTTTCTTTTTAAACTTATGATGTGTATTGCCACTTCGTGGATCATTATTCTCTTGAGGGTATTCCTTATGCCTTCATCTATTCATTCTTTGCAATATGTCAGTTCCTGGCCTGTTCAGATCTTGAGCTTTGACCCCTGAAACCCTCATCCCTCTAGAGATGCAGTGGCTCTCCTTTGAAGAAGAATGTGGCAAGGTTGAGCCTTGAGGGGCAGGAGGCAGTGGCTCTAAACGACACCCAAGAGTCTCAGACTGTGAACACCTGTGTTATTTTCCTTTCCCTGAGAAGATGCCCTGAAGGTTTCAGGTAGCACTTTCTGTACAGTATGTATCAAGTACTGTTGATGTCTTCTGTGATTGGGGACACAGTCAAAGCCATCGAGGAGTCCCAGAAGTCCATCTGACTGAAGAGAGAGCCTTGGGATAGAAGCAGCGTTTCAGGGGCTTATTTAGGATCCCGACTTGCCAGGGCAGTAGGTGTTGCTGTGACTGTTAATTGGAAACACTTGTCAAAGTGACAAGCCCAGAGAGGCATGTAGGAGTGATCTTTCTCAGTGAGCTTGTCAGATGAAGTCTGAGAGAGTGGCAGAGGCCTCGGGACCCAGACCTAAAGGCGATGCTGCTCTTACGTTAGCAGCAAGACTGACTTTGTGCACACAAGTTGGGAAGAGACCCAGTACTTTCCTTTGGAATATTCATATTTTGGGCTAAAAATATAGTCATTAAATTTGAACAACTGGTAGCTGATAGAGAGTCAAACAGGTTTTTTTTTGTTATTTCATTTTATATTGAGAATTGAATCCAAGACCTCATACATACAAGACAAGCATTCCATCACTGAACTACTTACCCAGCCCCTAGAAGTTTTTTAATTTCAATTTTTATTATTTTTGAGACAGTGTCTTACTAAGTTACCCAAGGTGGCCCTGAGCTCGCGCTGTAGTCTACGCTACCCTTGATTTTGTGATCCTCCCACCTCAGCGTCCTGAGTAGCTGCGATTATAGGCCTGTGCCAGCAATTCTGGTTAAAGTAGTTTTTAAAAATTTTATTTATTCATTCAAGCAACGAAACTATTGTTTTGCTGTAGAAGCAGCAGAAGCAAGGTGCGTGGGCAGGGGAGCGAATCTTTGCTGTGGCCCCTGTGACACTCCACTGTCTTTTTCCTCCCTCTCTCTCCACTACAGGAACCCCTGTTTGGTTTTACATGCAAATTGCACCAATAAGAAACGAGCATGAGAAAGTGGTCTTGTTCCTGTGTACGTTCAAGGATATTACGCTGTTTAAACAACCGATAGAGGATGATTCAACAAAAGGTAATTCCCGAAAGGATTATCTGTACCTAAGAAGCTGGCAGCCTTCTATCTGCCACATCTTCTTATGACCCTTCTCTGGTTCTGCATTCATCCTAGTGAGATGCAGCCGGGAATTCCACTGAGTACAGTTAATCTTGGAGCAACCCAATTGGCATTTCAACCCCCTGTACCCAGTGAGCTTTAGCACAAACGATTACACATAGCCGGGACTGACTTCACTGAGCTCCTACCACGGTGCTGTTAAGAATTTGATGGAGTTTTGGTCAACTAATTGAGTTTTACTGGCCGATTGCTTTCAGCTTACTTATCAGTTTCTGTTTGCTCAGTTGTACGTTCTCTTGTGTGGAAACTGTATAATTTTGTCATAAAGAGAGTGGCTGGCACAATGCAAGCCTCCCAAGTGGGGCATTATTGACTGCAGCATCCAGAGATGTGGCTACGGAAACCTAGAGCGCTCTTGCCTCTCTCCAATGTAATTTATTCCCAATTTACTTTCTCCATTTGGGTTTAAATTAGAAGCCGGTGTCACATAAATGAAGACTTTAAAATTCATTTAGAAATAGGTTTTTATAAAATGTTATTTTTTAGGGACCTCTTAGGAGACCAAAGGGAAATGCCTGCTTTTGTGCATTTGCCAAACACTCCCTTCCTTTAAAAAAAAAAAAAACCTACACAGAGATTTAAGCTTTCCAATTGCAACCATAATTACAGAAAATTACATTATTTTATCCTTTGCAGGTGAGTCTAAATGCATAATGATCTATTCACTTGTTCTGTTAGTATCAAATTAAAAAGAGAAACTTTACAATGTGCCAACTATTGAAAATAGGACCAAACAAATTATTTATATATGTCTCTGAAATTCCAGACTCTATGAAATCACTTTCTGGAAGATTAAGTAAAATATCTAATTTAGGACTCAGGTTCCCCCTTCCCCCTCTCTCATCTTACTGTATGACCCAAGCTGACCCAAAGCTCAGTACTTCTGCCTCAGTCTTCCAAATACTGGAATTACAGGCATGCATCACATCCAGCAAGGCCTACTTTTTAAAAATACGAAGACATATTTCTAATCATCTTTGCACTGAATGTTGATTCATGTCTTTGGAATGTCACTGTAGCGTGGTTAATAAAACCCCAGAGGCAGATATTGGGGTTCAACCTGGAGATCAGCAAAGAAAAGCAGCCAAGCCACTAGAGAGATCTTAGCTCTTTGAAATCTTTAGACTGAGAAAAGAGCCAGTTACTGTCTTAGCCCACTTTATATCCCTCTCCAGTGCTGGGATTAAAGGCATGCACCACCACTGCCCAGCCTGTATGGCTGACTAGTGGGGCTGTTTTGTGTTCTGTTCTTCAGGAAAGCTTTATTTATGAAAATACCAATGATATAGCGCCATACTTCATGGTGCTTCAGACAATGGCTAGAAAAGGCATCTCTTTTTCAGTTGTACATGGAGCACTCACCAGACACACTACACTCTGAGTCCTAAAATTTTTGACCAATTTAAATGAAGAGATACCTTTGAAAAAAATGAGTCTCAGATCATAATGCAGTTAAGTTAGAATTCTGGTTTTCGTTCGCTTTACATCTAACATCCACTTATGAGTGAGTACATACCGTGTTTGTTTTTCTTACTCAGAATGATTTTTTTCTAGTTCCATCCATTTGCCTGCAAATGTCAAGATGTCATTGTTTTTTTTACAGCTGAACAATACTCCATTTTCTTTATCCATTCTTCAGTTGAGGACATCTAGGTTGTTTCCAGGTTCTGGCTATTATGAATAATGCTGCTGTGAACATAGATGCAGGAATGAGGGACTTAGTCCTTCCTCAACTTAATGTGTCAGGCTTCCTTGACTCCCCGTGGGAGGCCTTACCCTTTCTGAGGAGTAGATGGGAGGTGGGCTCAGGGGGAAGTGGGTAGTAGAAGGAGAGGAGAGAGGGAAACTGTGGTTAGTATGGATGAATTAAACATTTAAAATAAAAAAATAAATTAGAACTCAATAACTTAAAGATATGTGGAAAGCTACAACAATTTGGAAATTAAACAACACATTTCTAAATAATCTATCAGCCAAAAAATCTTGTTACACATACTTTGAGCTAAATGAACATTTAGCTTTTTCAAATTTGTGGAGACTGTAAACATGGTGCTTAGAAGAAAATATGTAATGTTAGATGCATATATTGCAAAAGAAAATGACTAAAAGACCCCAGTAACCTAGCTTCCATCTTGGGAGGCTATACAAAGAAGAGACTTTTCAACCAAAGCAAGCTGAAGCCAAGACATCATGAACCATGTGGGAGAAATCATTGTAAAAGAGACCTCTTCAGGGGAAAACCACCAAAATGCCAGGCTAATTCCTATAATGAAATACCATTATTGTTAATAAATCTCTAGCTCTGGTAACCAAGAAAAAAGGGCCAGGCACATATTACCAATAGTGGAAATGAAAAGTCTGCCTCCACTTATTCTGTGGCTACTGAATCGGGGCATTGATCACCCCGTGGCCACCATAGGAGACTTTTAGGAGATATACCAACCTCTCAAAATTCACTTGGGGAGGAGAGAAGCAGAAAACCGTAACTACCTTGTCACCATTCAGTACTTATGCAGTAAAGAATAATTGACCCAAACCAAGGCAATTAGTTTTATCAGAAGACCCTAATAAATGCAGAAGGAAGATATTTCTCTCTTTCCTTCTTCAGGATTTCACACACGTATATAGTGAAATATGATCATAGCCAGCCCCATTCCCCTCTTCCAAGTTCTCCCTCCCTTCCCCAAACTCTCCCTCTATGTGCTCAGCCCTAAATGGCCATCTTTACCAACCTCCCAAAACATCAAGGCTCAAGGAACGTTTTGGAAGCAGAGGCAAAAAGAACATAAGAGCTGGAGGACAAGGAGGAGGTCTGTGAACTGTTGTCCTTTGTACGTGGCATGGCTGTTGGACACAGGAGCTCACAGCCCCTGTGGTTGCCTGCACGAGGCCTGCCGTGTTCCTTAAGTCTCCCAGAATGCAGAAGCAGAGGGAAGTCTCCCAAGCCATGAGATGAGGCCAGCACCACTCTGATACCAAACCCTGAAAAGATACTACAGACAAGGGAAGGAATAGGTGAGCTTTTCACGCTTTACATAAAATATTCCATAAAACTGGATTCACAAAATGTAAGAAGAATTACACATGACAGTTGAATGGATACAGTCTTCAGGAAACAATCCCTCTCCCCCCTCCCCCCCAGTCCTTCCTATCAGTCAGGTGGCAAAGAAAAGCACACGATCCCATTAACAGGCACAGAAAAAGCATCTGAAAAAAATTCAACACTTATTCTTGATTACAAATCCCCAGGAGAGTAGGAAGAGGGGTAGTCTTCCTTTCTTCATTAGAAACATCTGTAAAAACCTTATGACTAACAGTGACATGGATCTTTGAGTGAGGAATTTTTTAAAAAAAGATAAATGATTGCTACATGATTGGTGACCTAAAATACTCTTCAAATGAATTTCAATGTCTTCATACATGAATAGCAGTTAACTTGAGTGGGTTTTTAATCATATTTTTACTCCCGGATATACATATATTTATATTAGAGAATTATTTTCTTCTGATTTACTTTGTATAATTTCATGAAACAGTTGAAGCTGGTCAAGGAAAGCGCAGTCCTTCCCCACCAGTCTGACTGCTAAATCTTAATGGTAGTTAGTAATTTTGTATCTATGGAAACTGGGAGTTGGCAGCATTTTGCCATGAACTGGGGCACATGTGCTGACTTTTATCTCTGAACTTAATGCTTCTCCCTTCTTATGTTCTCTCAGCTCCATCACTCTGCATCTCCCTAGGTACCGCAGAGTGCTTGTAAGGCAAGGTCTCTTTCGAGTCAAATTGTCTACACTTACAAATTATTTCAAATATCCCAGACAAGTCAGGGTACTAGACTGTTGAACAGTGAGTTCAATAAGTATGCAAATCAAGATCGGTGGACAGTATTGGTATAAGACACCTTTTTCTAGTGCTAGACATTCTAGAAGATGGGCTAATTTGAGAAGAATTTTTGTTCTGAAACTCTTGTATGCCTTCCCTCTACATAACAGATTACTGAAAAAGCATTGCATAATGCAGCTATGAATGCCGCATATGAACTACTTTCTATTATTCATGTGAACTGTACATTTAACATGAAAAATTCAAAAGACATGAAATATTTATGCCATTAAGTCATCATTCTGCTATATCTTTGAAGCTAGTGATATAGGAACCAGGGAGCAATTTGAGATGCTTGGTAAAATAGTGTATTTCTTTCCATTTTTAAAGACAAATAAGAAGAAATTATACTTTTGGATAAATAGCACATGTAATCTCATTATCGTACCACAATATCAAATTGAATAAGAAGATTGTGATTTCACCTTTGATCCAGCTTTGGCCTCAGAGTTACTTAAGACAAAGTTTTTCATTATCTCTGTAGGAATATCCTATTCTATTAACCTTACTTTTATTGTTTTTTTCCCCAAAAGTCGAACTGAAGCTATTCCTGGGGATATAGGAGTGGCCCCTTTTCTAGTACTCGAGGGGGATAAACTAGCAAGTTAGTAGGAGCAGCTTCGCTCCAAGTGCTCCTGTGTCCTTGGTGATCAGCTGGGTGTGAGGATGGGGAAAGACACGTGAGAGGAGTTAAGAGCATGAAACCACGGTTAGAGGAGGGAGACACAGGACCACTGGGCAGCAGGGAGGTCCTCTGAGGTTCTTGGTCGAGAGTTTCACTAGCATCCATGACCATCTTTCTGTTCTCCGCTTCTGTCCAGACAGAGGGATGGAGATGAGCAGGGGGTACAAAGCTGGATCTATCTGAAGTTCAGTTTTGATTGGGTACAAGAGAAAGAATCTCAAAAAGGACTGTTGATTAGACAAAGGCTATGTCCCTCAAAGATCTGCAGATTTGCTGCTTCACATTCATACCAATCTCCTGTTTATATTGGCATCTCCTCCCCCCCCCCCCC